TGTGATCAGGAGAGGCTAGGGACTGCACGACTCTGCGGATGTGTCCCCTTTCCAAGCCCTGCCCATCACCTCTGCTCTCCACAGATCCTGAGTCTGGAAATTTCTCCATAATCAACTTCCAGTGACCGGAGCAAGTTGGTGCAGTGAACCTGGAAATCCATTCAGGATGTTGACTTTCATGACCAGTACTTCCCATGTGGACACTCCCAGCATTCTAGCACATACACTTGTCCTGTTTTTTCTGGCATCATCACTGAAAGCAGTTAAAATTTTTTAAGCATATTTATTTATTTTAGGGGAGCCTGGGTGGCTCAGTCGGTTCAACATCTGACCGGCTTAAGTCATGATCTCACAGTTCGTGAGTTCGAGCCCCACATAGGGCTCTGTGCTGACAGATAAGAGCCTGGAGCCTGCTTCGGATTCTGTGTCTCCCTCTCTCTCTCTCTGCCCTTTCTCCACTCGTGTGCTGTCTGTCTTTCTTTCTCTCAAAAATAAATAAACATTAAGCTTATTTATTTATTTTGAGAGAGGGAGTGCTCCTGTGCATGCAAATGGGGGAGGGGCAGAGAGAGAGGGAGAGAGAGAATCCCAAGCAGGCTCCGTGCTGTCAGCATACAGTCCCATGTGGGGCTCGATCCCCTGAACCGTGAGATTGTGGACCTGAGCTGAAATCAAGAGTCGGACGCCCAACCAACTGAACCACCCAGACGCCCTTTGAAAGCACTTAAATTGGAATCTCTTCCACGCTGCCAGGTCAGTTACTTCCTCCACCAAGTCTGTATGTCCCCAAAATGGGTTCTAATCGCTCACCTTTTGGTGTCTCCCTTTCTTGGGGGGCTAAAACTTTTAAAAAATTCTCTACTGCCCCTCTGGAATAAAATATTTTTTTAATTCTTTACTTTTTAAAAGGATACTTTTTACTACTATAATTTTAATAATTTTTTGGAAGAGAGAGGAAATAAAATAAGCATGGGGAGTTAACCTGGCACTTTTCTACAATACATTTTTTTTTATTTTATTTTTAAGCAATCTCTACACCCAGTGTGGGGCTCGAACCCGCAATCCCAAGATCAAGAGCTTCATGCTCCACCAACTGAGCCAGCCAGGCGCCCCTAACCTGTCACTTTTAAGCAACAAATGCAGTAATCGGTTTAATTGAGATATAATTTACATACCACGGAATTCACAATTCTGTGATGTAAAATTCGGAGATTTTTAGTATATCCACAAGGGTGTGGAGGCATCACCACTACCTAATTCTATAAAATTGTCATCACTCTAAAAACAAACCCCAACTTATTAGCACTCAGAGATAATACTATTTTATATCAGCACATAGAGAGTCAAGCGTTCAATAAGTTAGAGAGTATGGCAAATATTTTGTTAGAGGGATTACTGACAATGAGTATAAAATGAGTGACTCATCTATAGGAGAAAATTACTCTAGGAAAGTCATCGGTGAGATAAAGACATCCCCATGTTTCACCTAAAAACTGAAATGTATGAAATGTACATAAAATCGTATCCACTGTTAGATAAGCCCTTCTCCCTATCAAATTATGTATCAAAATATGTGTTGTAAAAGTTGCTTTTTGATTAAAAGGATAAAAGACAAGCGAGAGATTTTCAGATTCCTAACAAGAATGCTATTTTTTTCCTGTAGAATATGGGGGGGGGGGGGAGGTGGAGTTTTATAAATAACTGTAAGACCATTTAATTATTACAAGACAAATAATTCATTGATTACATCTGAGAGAAACAAAAGTCAATGGTTTCTAGTCTGCCCTTCAATCCTCGCTTTCAGAGCAAAGCTGTCTCCTCCAAGACTTTGACTTTGGTCTTGTAGATCTTGGACTACACAGAGCCCAACTTTCGATGGTAAACAGAGGATTATGATACCAACTGAGCCGCCAGCGCTCAGACAAAGCCTTTGTGTGTTCCCAGGCTCCACACCCAATCCCTCTCTCCCTCTGCACTATGCCAGGGGCCAGTCACAATTGTGTTCTGGCCAGTGGGGACCTGCAATCATGTACATTGTGTTCCCTAATTGAGGGTCTGGTTTTGTCCAAGTTGCTGTGTTAAAACCCGGTCTGCGGCAGACATGCCTTTGCTACTCAGCTTCCTGGGCCCTGTGCATGGATTTAGTCCTTGTAATATTACCGCTAGAGCTGGAAAAGGTGGACACAGGGTAGCAAGATGCAAGGCTTCTAGCAAAAGGAGAGACTCAGAATATGAATGTGTCGTTGTGATGCGTTAAAGAAAACCGGAGCCTAACAGTAGGGTTAAGGATAGATTTTATTCAGGAACTATTGCAATAGGGGGAAAGAGACTTTGATATAAACCTGGGTTCAATTCCAAATACAATAGGGACGGTGGGGATTTATAGCCAAGGAGCAGGTTGGAGGAACTGGTGGGTAGAAAATTACCAAGAGGTGAAAGAAAAAGAAAGAAAGAAAGAAAGAAAGAAAGAAAGAAAGAAAGAAAGAGAGAGAGAAAGAGAGAAAGAAGGAAAGAAAGAAAGAAAGAAGGAAGGAGAGAAAGAAAGAAAGAAAGAAAGAATAAAGAAAGAAAGAAAGAAAGAAAGAAAGAAAGAAAGAAAGAAAAAGAAAGAGAAAGAAAGGGACGCCCCGATGTCTCAGTTGTTTAAGCATCCAACTCTTGAATTCGGCTCAGATCATGATCTCACAGTCGCAGAGATGGGTACCCAGAGATGGGGTACTTCTGGCTGAAGCACCTTGACAGTGTCCTTGCTGCAGGTGAGCCAGGGAGATCAGGCATCCACCTGGAGGTGGTGGGGGTGAGGAATTTGGTCAGAGATGGGCTGGGGGATTCTTGATAAACTGACTTAGCCAGATTCTTGTTCAAATTGGTCAAGGCAAAGACAGACTTGGAAGTCCCAAGGTCGAGGCCTAATTGGAAAGAGGCACCAAAGGAGCCTGACTGAGGTTGGTCAAGAAGGGTGTCTGTCACATGTCAGCGTGCTGCAGTGAGGGACCCCTGATTCTAGTTAGTGATGTCAATTATCTAGAGACAGGAAATACACACAGTGAGATGTGACCCAACGTTAATGGGAATAATCTTATTTAAAAAAAAAAAAAAAAAAAGAACTGTCTTTGTTTTTAATTTTAGGCTTGCCAAACAGCCAAGGATGTACCATTTTGTTACCTGGTAGTTTGTTGAGAAAGTGCCTTGAGAAAATCACAGTTGCCATGTAATCTGCTTCAAAAATAAAAGTGCCTATCACACCGCCCACACTGTATTATTATACAATAATGCCTCTGGCTTCTCTAACTTATTGCCCCTTGACACACTAAAAATCTGGCTTCTGATCCTGTAACTCTGAAGTCTACATTAAGTGTAGACAGCACACACGTGACTGAGAACAGACGATCTTTAACACAGTCTTTACTGCAGTTTGCATCTCAAGTTCCAAGTGACCCTCCTCCTCTTCTCTTGACTCCAAGTTTGGTTTCTGGGCAAGTGCAGCCTCATTGGAGGAAAATCTACATCCGGTTCCACGGAGCCCGCGCTGCGCCCTCTCATGGGGCACGAGAACCCTGAGATCACGACAGGAGCCAGAGTTGGCTCTTAACCGACTGGGCCATCCAGGCCCCTCCTGTAAATGAATTATTTTAAATTTGGGTTGTGTTTTTGTTCAAACTCCATCATAACTCTGCTCAATAGTCGATGAATGGAGCACCAAACGACTTCAGCGTTTGAAGCTTTAGCAGATCACAGTTATCATTAAACCCGAGGAACTTGGTAATCAGTTCCCACCCTGCCCAGCACCTCTCTGTTGAGACCTGCCTCCAGAGTCCCCAGTGGATGGATCGCCCACTTGGCCACAGCACTTGCCTGCCCAGTGATGTCCCCAGTTTCCCTTCCCCACTCTGCTAAGTGCCCAGGCTTCCTGAGATGGCCCCCCACCCCAGTAAATTACTTGTACTAGATTCCTTGTCCCTGGGTCTACTTCAGGGGGATCCCAACCTAAGTACAGACCACAGGATGGTCTTCCCATGAGCCTTGCCCTTTATTCCTTCATAAAATATGGAGCCTCATCAAACCTGGAAGGTGTATCCGCCTTGTAAGGGAAGGCATTCCCCACCTGGACCAACTGAGCTCTAGGTCATCCTAAACTTTTGGCATGATTCAGCCAAGTGTTTGCTTCTGTTTGCTGCTAAGGCAGATGCCACGACAGTCCTTGGTCCTACAACCAGTTCCTGCTCCAACAGGTGCATTAGCAGCTTCTGAGACTGGGGCCTCTCCATATGAAGGTGCTACCCATCACTCAGTTTTAGATTGTTATTAGCTTCTAGATATACTCTTTTTAAAATAATACGAACACGGGGCACCTGGGTGGCTCAGTCGGTTAAGCGTCTGACTCTTGATTTCGGCTCAGGCCATGATCTCATGGTTTGTGGGATTGAGTCCTGCGTTGGGCTCTGCACTGACAGTGTGGAGCCTGCTTGGGATTCTCTCACTCCCTCTCTCTCTCTCTGCCCCTCCCCTGCTTGCTTACTCTCTCAAAGTAAATAAACCTTAAAAAACCTTTTTTAAAAAATAAAATAATATGAACCGATTATGGATACAGTATATGTTAAATTCTATAAATGTGCAACACTGGTTACTAAAGGAAAACCACTTTATGCTTGAACATTCGGACATTGCAGATAGACACATATCCAACCGTAGTGATCCGTAGCAAAGCCGTGAAGTCCACACTCGTGAGGCTATAGACTTGGTCTCGTGGAACCAGTGACTGGAAGAAATAAATACTGAAGGGCAGGGCACCCAGGCATGCAAATAAGGAACGTGTAGTGTCTCTCAACATCTGCAGTGTCTTTGTTAGTCGCACAAAGTGTGATTTTACACTCTAAGGACAAATGCCCTCAGTCTTTGTACAGATTTGACCATAGTGGGTCACAATCAGAGTTATTTTATAACATGAGATTCTAATCTCTCTGCAAATAATTAACATTTTGAATATGACTTACTTGCAGCGACTGGTTTAGAAGAACAGAAAAACAACAAGGCCCCAAACCAAGATTCCATGAAAACTTTGGTTGAACACAATCTTTATTTCAGGAAACATGCTGAGGAGATGGTATTTTA